AATCAATTATCTAGATTACAAACATGTCTTAAGGACATAAAATCCTGGATGACCTGCAATTTTCTGATGTTAAACTCAGAAAAAAACAAAATTCTTGTTCTTGGCCCCAAAAACCTTAGAGACTCACTGTCTAAAGATATAGTCACTCTAGATGGCATTAACTTGGCCTCTAGCACCACTGTCAGGAATCTTGGAGTTATCTTTGATCAGGATTTGTCATTTAATTCCCACATAAAGCAGACCTCTAGGACTGCCTTCTTTCATTTACGTAATATTAGAAAAATTAGACACATCCTATCACAGACAGATGCAGAAATACTAATCCATGCATTTGTTACTTCAAGGCTGGATTACTGCAACTCTTTATTATCAGGTTGCCCCAATAAGTAAGCCCCAAAATAAACTCTTCATGGTCAGGCCCCATTCATATCTTAACCCTCCCGCTGCCCTCGGCGGGTCTACGTGTCCCCCGAATCATCCTCCCATTCCTATGCGCCTAGCCGTCAGAGCCTCAGCGGGAGGGTTAAGTCCTACTGGTTCCATAGTTTTTAAGGACTCAATTCCTTTTCTTCTCTGCTTTTTTCCTTCCTGCGTCTGTCCAAGAGGAATTGTGTTGGAGTCCTGACACGCGTTCGGCTGGCCAGCCATATACCAGGAAGTAATCTACCAGTGGTCTCAATTTCCTTTTTTGTTCAGAGTATTAAACTTATGTTGCCAAATTCTTGTTCGAATTGTATTCTTTGTATCTTCGACATATTGTATCATACATTTTGAATAATGAATGACATAAAAATGTGTGGCTGAAGCCCGGTTGAATTTCAAACACACTGGTAAATATTGAATTTAAATAATTACTTATATATTTTTTATTCTAACCCTAAGGGTTCTATAGTTTTTCACTTTGCAGTCCGGGCTTATGCGTCTTGTGACTCCAGAGTACCGTGTTTTCGGTGTAGAAGTTTTGTCTTGGTCAAAGCTAGCTTGTTCCTCCTGTTGGTGGGAAGTGTGCAGTTGAGCCGCGACACTCCGGACACATGAGGACTCTTGGCTTGGCTCTGCCGGTCTCGGTATTGGTGTCAGAGACGGAGTTTGATCCATCACGCTCACTGACTCATCCGCCAACAGTGAGGTGGCTGCTTGTGTGACTTTCTGTGCTTCATGAGTCTTTCTAACTTCTAACTTATTTATTCTAAATTTGACATTAAAATCTACATGATTTCAGTCTAAAGTATGTAATAATTGTTTGTATTCATGTATTGAGAATTTTATGGAGGAACACCCCAATTACAGTATCAATATAATACGTAACATTATACTCAATTATACTTGTAATAAAGACTGATTTTCTTTAGCATTCAAAGGTGAATTAAATACTATTATTCATAATGGAAATGAGCTGACCAGAGCTTTATAGATGAAATCAAGTGAAACAAGTTCTGTGCTAAAAGTCATTGTTTTATTAAATCTGTCCACACTGTCCTCTGTCTTCAGTGCAATTTAAAGAGTGCTAAAACAAGTATAATCAATCTTTCAATCAGTTTTATATCCAATAATCAATTATAAATATATACAAGGAAACAACTAAATCAATCAGATTAATCAGTTGTAATTTCACAGAATGCAATGCTTCGTGGTCGAACGGCGTTTATGTTAAAGGACATTGTGAAGCCTTTATTGGCATCTAGTGGTGTAGTTGCAACTCACTGGCTCCTCCCTCCCCCTCCCCAGAAACTATGGTGTCACAGAAACATGTGAAATGTGAAAGGCTCTATCTAGAGCCAGTGTTCTGTTTGTCCCTTTGGGGCTACTGTAGAAACACGGTGGTTGAACATGGCGAACTCCATGGAAGCTGACCCGCTCTCTCTCTGTAGATAAACACGTCTCATTCTAAGGTAACAAGAACACAATAACACAAACAATACAAATCAATATAATAATAAATAAAGAAATAAATGTTAGACACTGGACCTTTGGGACAAAATGTGAAGAACAGAACAACAGATGGATAATGTATGACCTCAGCTATCTTTTTCTTTCTGCCGTCCACCCTCTCTTTCTCCATCACATTGAACGGTGAGGCCTCAAATTCTTTCCACGTCATTTCCTTTGTCATGTCTTTATGACACAAGGACCTTAGCTGGACAGTGAATGTGTTTCCCCCCCGGGAATCCTGAGTGTGTGTCTGTGTGTGTGTGTGTGTCTGTGTGTCTGTGTGTGTGTCTGTGTGTCTGTGTGTGTGTGTGTGTGTGTGTGTGTGTGTGTCTGCTGGTTGGACCCTGCTTCAGCTCTGTGTGACAGAAACGACACATTGTTCCTCGAGGCTGAGGGTCCGGCAGTTTCCTCTTCTTTTCCGCTCTGTCTTCCACTCTGCGCTCGGTTAGCTGAAGTTCACGCTGAAAGAACTCAGTTTGTTGGGATGAGCAACCTCTGTCACCAGAACCTGCAGCTCAGGAGGAATGGTTACAGGTCTCTTCACTGTCGGCACGGTGGGACTACAAGG